AGTTCTAGAGATCCAGTGGTTGTGATAAAGTATTCAATAAAGCAGCAAAAGAAATTCAAAAAAAAAATTCCGGAATAACCTACCCGTATCGCGATCAATTTCAAATAAACCAGTTGATACAGCTTCATTGCCATTCGGTAGCAAAAATGCGTAGAACACCTTAAAATTCCATAAATTCTATCTAGCAAAACTGCAGATCCAGAATAATTGTTTTCAGGATTAGTCGGAAAGAGAAGAATGCTCTGAGAAGTAAAGGATCCCGGTTTACCTGATCTCGATCTGGATCGATTGCTTGAATTTGCACCACCGGCGTTCCACCCTGTGCATCTTCAGCAACGTAAGCTTGATAATTTCCGGTTGGAATAAATATCGGCGCTTCATCATTCGTATTTTCCGTACGAATATGGACCTGAAATCTAGTCGTAAACGGCGTATTTTGGTCCCAGTAGTTGTCAAAAAATAAAATCGGGCAATTAAACTTGCGGTTTTGAATGAAAAAATGTATCGGCACAAAAAAAATAAGTGGATCTGAATTACAATTCGACAAGAAAGAATTTAATATGAAGTATCAGGAGGCCCAGGAGATAAACAGGCAGACGGTGTAGATTTAAAGAAATTAACAGGTGCGCTTAACCAAAGTCAACAAATTTACATGCTCCACAAGTTCAGACTAAAGGCTGCACATAAAGAGCTTGCCAATTAACGCAAATTTACAGCTTCGTCATCGGAATGTAGTGCTAGGTTATGACTTTTCTCATATTAACTTCAGAAAATAACAGCAGAAGCGTAATGTGAGTGATTATGCAAGCCTGATGTGAAGCAACTGGTGAAGAGGCACATTTCTTAAAAGTGTTCAGTATTTCGCATTTCTCCATTATATTTTCGTTTCTGTGTTATTTTTTACGACGTTGCAGTTTGAAGCAATGGCAAATGTTAGAGGATCGACGATGACGAGTGATGCAGCTGCGTCGCGGGAAATACGACACTGCTCGATTTTGGCGGGGATTTCGACCGAACGACGTCTTGAGTTTCTGCTTAGATTGTTCCTGTTTCGAACGAAAACTTGAAAATCGAGGAAAATCGGCAGGCGGCGCTGGGAAGCTGAATCGGGATGAAGTCAAGAAATGCAGTAGCGTTCAAGTAGCTTTGAGAATAATATGTAGCGTCGGAATGGGGATATAAATCTGCGTATTTTGTCATGAGATAAAGACTCCGTATTTTTAGACTCTCTACCTCACGACTTTTGCGTACGTTGAACCAAATCCCTGAAAAATTTAAACTGGAGCAACATACCGCAGCAGTGCTACTCAGTGGAGGTTCACCACGATCAGTAGCCGTCACGTTGAATCGGTAGATGTAGAAACGTTCACGATTTTGATCCGCATCCAGACGCTTCCGAGCAGAAATTTCACCACGGTCATTGATCTTGAAATGATCGTCGCTTAAGCTATACACTATCCGAGCATTTTCACCATTGTCTTTGTCCTCTGCGTGCACTGAAACTTGACCGTTATAACAGAAAGTATTGTGACTTTATTGAGCAACGCTGCAAATTTCGTTTATCAGCCACTGGTACTCACGAGAAAGTAAGCGACTACTCAGACGGCCTTTGAAGAGGTGGCGCACATACATCGAACAGGAGTGGGTACTGACTGGAAGTATGTACTTCAGGATCAGAGGGCCTGGAATCGTAAGTTTGACAGATGCGAAAAAATCTTCGCCAAAAGTAAACAATTTGGCACCGCACATCCGCAGAGGTAATAGTATCTTATCGCAGACGCAAAGTTGCATAATAGTATCTTATCCTTTTGGCGTCTTGATTTTTTGGAATCACTGTTATACAATTAATCTTAATCCGCTGCTTCTCAGCTTGTCCCAGCTATATGAAATATTTAGGTACTATTTCCTTATTGAGCGCTGAAATTAAATAAGTAAAATCAAGATGTTTTCAAAGTTCTAACCATAAGACAATAAAAATTTCGACGTCCTCGATTGCTTTTTATTCATCGAAATCATTTGAGCAGTTAGTGTAAAGTCTCCGATATTGCAGGGTCTTAAGTGAGATTTTAGTTTTATGTGCGGTGAGGAAACTGGTACCCACAATTTTTTCATTTTAGTGTTTTTTTGTGCGGCAAGAGAATAGTACTGAGGTCCTTAATTTAAAGAATAAATAAAAATGTTGGAGGGAAACCTGTGAGAA